TAAGACTTTTGCTTGAAATCAGACGTATTTTTGTAGTAACATATCATTACGTATTTTTCAGTATTTTAAGTTATGTCTTAAAATTCCATTTTATTAATAATTCTTGAAAAAATAATTAAGTTGATTCCTAATATAATAATTTATCTTGAAGTTCTTCGTTTATATACTCTACAAAACTGTTGGCAAGCAGAATTCCCTTGGATGGTGGACGAGACGTGTCTTGTACTAGTTTTTCTTCTCTGGAACTTAGTGATACCAGCCTCTACTTCAGAAGACGAACCTATTTATGATATTATTCATCCAGGCCCCGGGAGAGTTTCCTGAAATATTTAAGGAATATTAAATTAGATTTTAAAATAGTTGATTATAACTGATTATAACTATTCAGCTATACGGAGCTGATTAGCATTTGCGGGCTTGTGTGTGTGTGTATGTGTGTGTGTGTGTGTGTGTGTGTGTGTGTGTGTGTGTGTGTGTGTGTGTGTGTGTGTGTGTGTGCGTCTGCGTGTGTGTGTGTGTGTTTGCCTGTCCTGTAAGTTCCTTTATTCGTTACGTACACATTGGAGTTTGTAGTTTTTTTATTATGTACTTAGTAATTAATCCATGAGCCTTCCTATCTGTAAACATTTATCCCATTTAAACTATACACCCAGAGGCAATGTATCTACACCTGCGGTGTTGGTGTATTAGATGGTGGCGAGTGCTGGCGCTACTGTGTGAGTACACACGTGTTCCTGAACAAAACTGCTTGCCATACGAGGGATTATATACGATTATTGGACACATAAGGCAGTATTTAAATATATTTTTAACCTGATGTAATTCCCGTCCACTTAATCCAATGAATTATATTCCATTATCTGACCCCTGAGTAAATGTAATGAAAGCTTATACATGTTTATAATGTAATCTAATTATCTTTTCCTAACATAAAAGAGGCCAGCAGTTATATTACTGATGCACCGACCTTGTTGACTTTATAATTAGCAAGCATTATTCTGGCCAGCGTATTGTCACGGCTCTCATTATCCAGGTAAATTTGGTTAATGAACAGTAACTAGTGATTAGTCTTCGTAATTAATTAGTTGTTTACAGTATTTATTTATGCACTTATTTTATGAAATTATTGTGCAGGGGTTTATGTGATATGGGTGTGTAATTCACTTTTGTAATACAGGTATGTGATACAGTATTGAATACATGTATATACATATACATAACAATTGTGTGATGAGAAAATTTGTTGGAGCCGTAATGAGGGTTCGAACTTATGCGGAGGGTGTTCTAGCCGTGTTCGTCAATTTCTGCTCCAGGTGTGCCAAAGTGTTTTTGTTTTATAAAGGACCAGGAGTGTCCAGGATGGGATGACCTTCCCATGGCGTGTTGTATTTCAGAGAGCAGGCGAGAGCTGCCAGGGTGAGCTGCCAGGTGAGCTGCCAGGGTGAGCTGCCAGGGTGAGCTGCCAGGGTGAGCTGCCAAGTGAGCTGCCTTACCAATAGCGTGTTTTGTTCCACTCTCAGACCTGGAGTGCCAGGTGAATTACTACCCATACTTCATTAGGTTCCTAGGCTCAGGTAGAAGTCAAAATAGTTCCTTTCCCTTATGTAGCATGACTCAAATTACAGGTAAGTAGTTGAAAAGGAAGACTACGGGTGCACGTTTGGCCAAGAACAGGCACGGTAGTCTGTTGTGGCCAGCACGGAGAGGTCGAGGCAATAAGAGGCCTTGCTCGACACGCTTCGCTCACACACAATCTGCATCACGCGAGCAGGTTAAAGCGGTGAGCGCCGCTGTTCCGTAATTAGAGGCAAACTTGTCCCGTGTTAAAAGTAATCATAACGGCTTACAATAATACTTTTCACCGTGTAGATAGGGTCGTTTCGTGCTCTGGTGAAGCTGGGAGTTTCGACCTCTGCGTTGCTTTATTACCGTTGGTGTTTGTGGATTTCGTGATGAATTGTTATCCAACCTTCTGGTCGATGTTTGCTTGTAATTGATTACGTTTCACGCCATAGTTTTTATTTCTGGTTGATGACTGGTTATATTACGTTTGGTAGTCATCACTTTCGGTTGATGTTTGAATGCAATAGATCACAATGCACTTGATCGTTCAATTTTTTCTCTAATCCGTTCATGATGTATTTTACCAAGTCATTCTCTGCCATTTCCTCTTCATACCAGAACGAGGCTTTAAGAATTATCATAGTATTGTTTAAACTGTATTGTCAGTGCTGTTAACCATTCGGTATTTTTACTGGCGTCGACTTATATACGGTATATTGTAGTTAATTTAATTCACAATTATCTGGATCAGTGTCATATGTGAAGGGAAGAGTGTCACTGACCTCATTGTGAAAAGTAGGCAGGAAATTAAGGGGTTTGTCAGTCTATTCTTCATTGTTCAGTAGGTGTTTTGTATTGTTCAGTGGTTCTTGATTGTTCTGTGTATTTTGATGACCCATTACGACATGGGGGTCTAATATTAGCTGGATTATTATTCCCTGGAGGTTTACTTCCAGGGATGGCCGTCATTAACTTATTCTTGTACAACCTGTCATCAGATAGTTTCCAGAGCATGTCACTGGAAGATCTGTCCAGCCTGGTAAACCTCACTAGCCATCCTCCGGTAGTTGGAGCTAATAGAGACCCAAGTACCGTACTAAATTATCCCAACCAGGTGTTACAGTCCTTGAACCCTTTGATCAGAATATTGTGTGTTCCATGCTGTTGCACGCCAGGTATGTCCCCCTCGTCCCCCTTATGTGTATTAAGGTTCCTAGTGAACAAACAGCTGGGTCAAAGGTTATTCTACCTGGAGCCTAGGGAACAAACAGCTGGGTCAAAGGCTATTCTACCTGGAGCCTAGTGAACAAACAGCTAGGCCAAAGGCTATTCTACCTGGAGCCTAGTGAACTAACAGCTAGGTCAAAGATTATTCTAACGGGAGCCTAGTGAATCTCAGCTGGGTCAGAGAGATAGGAGGAAAGGTGCCGCAGGGAGAAATGCAAACAAGATATAAATTAGATGTCAGCCACAGGCGCCTGATAAGTATGTCGTCTGACTTAAGTTCGGGGAGGAAGCGGCAACATCTCTCATGTCAGAAGGGTGCAGCCGAGACTGTGTTCCTCAGCCTGACGTAACGTTACTCCGGGATGCAGCGAGAACGTGACGTTCAAGACGAGAACGACGCGGCAGAGACGATAAATTAAAAGTAGTGATGCAACATTTTATCAGAGAAGCTCCAGGAGGCAAGAGCAATTTTGCTCTTGGTCCTCGACCATGCCACGCCTGCACGTCATCCTTGCACGTGACTCGAGAAAGTGGTTGAATTCTGTAAATAATAATACATACGTCCTTCTAATAGCGACATTACGGGATATTCATGACCGTGCCACCTCTTGGGTGGCTTAATCTTCATCAATCAGTCTTCTGGTAGCAGAAGGAATCAATTTGAGACTTGGAATCTTCATTATTTTGAAGAATATTGAGTACTGTTAAAGTCTTCAGAAAACTAACCTCATTTATTTGCACTTTCATTAAATATTTGGAGAAAATGAACCTTGGTGATTGGATTCCTTCTCCAAGCTTTTAGAATATGGAGACACCAGGTCATTGAACACGAGCGGCAATACATAACTGATTCTTTCATGATTTGTTAATATCCTACATCCTTCACTGGGAACTATAAAAGGCGAGCAATTAATTGACACTTTAAAAGATTAAGCCAGAATTAACCAAATGCACCTCATTCACCTCGTTACTAACCTCAATGTACCTGACTTCACTGACCCCACCCCACCAGACCCCACTGACCCCAAGCCACCAGCCCCTACTGACCCCACTGACCCCAAGCCACCAACTCCTACTGACCCCAAGCCACTAGCCCCTACTGACCCCAAGCCACTAGCCCCTACTGACCCCACTGACCCCAAGCCACCAGCCCCTACTGACCCCACTGACCCCAAGCCACCAGCCCCTACTGACCCCACTGACCCCAAGCCACCAGCCCCTACTGACCCCACTGACCCCAAGCCACCAGCCCCTACTGACCCCAAGCCACCAGCCCCTACTGACCCCACTGACCCCAAGCCACCAGCCCCTACTGACCCCAAGCCACCAGCCCCTACTGACCCCACTGACCCCAAGCCACCAGCCCCCACTGACCCCAAGCCACCTGACATGATCCCACCTACGAAAACAGGAAACAGGATCACAATGACTCGTAAGTAGGGTACAAAAAATAACAAAATTCGGAGTGTTAACAAAATCCAGATATAGAGACAGCTTTCCTTTCCTGTTACAAAAACCTAAATTAATTCCCTGGAGGAACTTGAGGTAAAATTTCTGGCTGCAAGAATGGGGTCTCTCGGGCCCAGAGCCAGAGTGGCGGCTCAAACCTGCCGGGAATTCTAAATCTGATCAACTCTTCGTCGAGTGACAGGGAAAATACTGTTACGTACTGTCCAAAGCGAACACCAGTCATATATATTAAGAATGTGCTTGTTTATATTATTATTAGTTTCTACCACAGACGTGGCCACACATTTACAATGCTAACCAGCATATATACATTTTCTTCTGTCCTCCATGGACAGAATGTGCTTGAACGACCCCTTTCCGGAAGGAAGAGAACTTGAGGCCGGCTGCCATCATGGAGGAAGGGAAGTACTTCTTGCAATAACATAATGACTTGTTCTAATCATTGCTTGCAGTCTTAATAATTACAGACAGCCAAGTACCTTATTTCAAATACATTGCTTCCTCGATAGGATTAATTTCATTCCAGGTAAAGGAAAGTAATATATGCGATCTCGGTGTAAGCTTTCCCATACATCGTTGCTCAGGGATACTTGGCCAGCACTAGCAACAGGGTCACCATGAGCCATGGAGATTGATGGCAGGCCTTCGACGTACATATGATCAAGTATTTTCTCGAGATATTCTGGTGCCCTTAGGTTCAGATGGTAGTTTGAGCCCGAATGGTCGACCCCATTGGTTTTTTAAATGGACTGTATATGGTACGGTCGTTCAGGAGTAGATAGCATCTGATATGGTCGTTCAGGAGTAATAATCTGTGCCTGAAAGGAAAGGTTTCCTATGTAGTTTAAGTGTGGAAAGTTATGTAGGTAGAACGTCTGGAACGATCTGAAAGGCTCTGTAGGTAGTTTGGATCTGGAAGATTTGAGCCAGGTAAGTCCAGGAGGCAGTCTACGTCAAGAACTTTAGACAGATCATCAATTAATGTAGACTTGGTTGATACCAATGATAATCTGAACCAAGTAGGATTAAGAGATAGTATTGACCATAAGGTTTTAGGAGACAGTCTGGACGCGTTAAGTTCAGTATAATTACGCTCTCCACTTACTCCATAAAAGAGATTGAGAGTATTTACTGCAAGTGCTGTAATGTTTCAAGTTTAGGATTTATACTTTTCATCTTGCTCTTTTTAACAACCTTGTGAATTTGAGAATTTTCATCTCTTTTATATATATATATATATATATATATATATATATATAATTTACGTACTCATTTAAAGACAAGTTTGATTCTAGTAAATAATTATTTGTTAGTATTCTTAAAAATGTAATATTCTGACTTAATTGACATTTGGATATCTAGGACGATCTTATTTTGTTAAAACCACCGTTAGCGTAGTGGGCTCACAACCGCTTGGACCAGAGTTCTATTCCCAAGTAGGGCGAGGAACCAGGTACATGTCCTTACACTCGATACCTTTGTTTCTCCAGGCAGTAAATAGATCGCGGTACTTGGGTGACCATTGAGGGCAGCACACCGGTGAAGGTCAGACGCTCTAAGGGACGTTGGACAGAGGCTCTCTGTCCTCGACATTGGGAACCACACGTAACAACTTCACCTGTGGCAAGACTCAGCCACCACTCAACGAGGTTTACTCTAGCTCCACCTGGCACCTTTGCTGCTATAATTACGTTTTCCTCCTTTATATTTCTGGCCTTGCTCGAGTTTTCTGTTTGTGTCAGAGACAAGGACCAGTGAGACCGACCCAGCTTGGTCCAAAGAGTCTTATGGCGTATCGACGTCTTGAAACGAATTAATTCATCTTTTGTTATTTATCATTTACCATAAGCATGTTTATGCCCCTAAATACCAAAATAGAGGCAGCCTGTGGGCGCGCGTGTCTGGTTAATAATAATTTAGATTTCCAGAAAAGGTCAGTGCATTTCATCCCGTTGTGGTGCACGAAAACATACCTGATGCGACAACCTTTACACGTGGAATAATGTCTCCATTCTGAAGTTCAGTGTCGCTGAAGAGTCGTAGTTTTCAGTGTAGCTGAAGAGTCGTAGTTTACTTGCGAAGTTAAGAAAACAGGGTCAAGATTGCGGGTTAATGAAACAAGTTTACCGTTCCCTTTCTAACTCTCGTCTTTATTTTGCTTAGTGTGAAAATTTACAGTGGCTATCGAAATATTCAATACAATATATACATGTAAACTCTTCCTTATGCCTAATTTTTCATTCTATTAAAAACAAAATAGGATTCAGAATGACACTGAAAAAGTTCTCATTGTAAAATATAAATGGACCGTGATACTTTTTTTTCTTCTGTTTTGCCATTGTTCAGTATTGTGGCAGTAAATTACAGTGAGCTTGTAAGTCACCACAATGTACGATCCATGTGTTAAACATTTACAATGGCAAAAAGTGTTATTTTTTTGTGAGTTACACATATTTGCAATGACACATGACCGCACAGGCAGAGACACATACCCGCACAGGGAGTGACACGTACCCGCGTAAGGAGTAACACACATACCCTCAGTAGGAGTGACACATACCCCTCACAGGAAGAATAACACATGGTGGCACTAGGAGTGGCACTTGCTATGCCCGAAGCCATGATGGGCACTATGAGATACATAACGTGACACCTATCATGACCAGGAGGTCATGATAGTTATACTCACAACACATAAACACAGGTACATCATCAACATAACAGGTATATATATATATATATATATATATATATATATATATATATATATATATATATATATATATATATATATATATATATATATATATATATATATATATATATATATATATATATATAATATTTAATGTCTTGAGAATACATTGCACTCATATTGGAGGGCAAATATGACGGTATTTTCTCTTAAACATTTCAAAGCATTTTCGTATAAAATCTAAAATTACATTTGCAGCAATATATAGCTCAGTGGTAACCTGTACAATTGAGTCACCCGCTCAAATGGAAGCTGTAGTTTTTCAATCCTTCACATTCTATATACTTTTCATATATATATATTTTTGAACGAACATTCTCTGATCTCTGAAAAATATAAGTGGGGTAAGATACTAAGAAAGATTTATCATATGTATACATCAACACTATTACTGCCTCTCATCACTCTCCTTTACTGGGAGCGAGTGCGATATATATATATATATATATATATATATATATATATATATATATATATATATATATATATATATATATATATATATATATATATATATATATATGAGATGAAATATTTGTGCCCAAAAAGATCACCGAGAACTGTTGGGAACTGGGCTAAGGGTCTGACAACTTCCAATTCTTTTAACCCTCGTTGTGGCCTAGGTTGAAAGTACTGAACACGCCAAGGTGCATGGAGCCCCTGGCTGTCTGGGTTCGAATTCTTCAGGAATGAGGAGTTTTTGTTGTTTTTTATATATATATATATATATATATATATATATATATATATATATATATATATATATATATATATGTGTGTGTGTGTGTGTGTGTGTGTGTGTGTGTGTGTGTGTGTGTGTGTGTGTGTGTTTATGAAGTTTTCAGTGTATCAGAGTTTATAGATACTTGACATAGATGCCTTTACCTTTTCTATATACATAAGAAACTAGACTTTTTGTTTACAGTTATCTCTTTGTACACTGCATAAAGTCTCACACAAGACTGACCATCGCGTCAGTGTTGTTATACTATACATCAATTTAATACACTGAACATTCTTACCCTTAAAATGGAAGAGTTAGGCGCTATACTTTTGAACTCGTAAAGAAATATTTATTTTTACTGCAAAGGAAAGACGGGATAAAATATGTAGCTCAGTTAGGTCTCTTATAAACATGCATTTAGACGATAGAAACAATCAAGGATTTCAGTCAACTGATAAGCATAAAGTAGGGGGTAGAGCATGTCTGGAGAGACAGACACCTTAGGCTATGTTTTCAAGGTCTGATCAGTGCAATTAGACCATTACACATGACATTTTTCACCTGTTTCAGAATACTCTCTCGTGGTTCATTAAGTGATTACTATACAATCTGTGTTTCATGCATCCCAGGCCAAGCGTAGACCTATTTTAGGCCTAAATAATTATGATTTTTGTTTTATACAACCGAAGGAAATATGAATAGTTGTGGATACAACGTTATGGTTTACAAGTAAAGCTTGAGTAGGTTACGTTAGGTCAGTTGAAGTTAGGCAAGTTTAGATGAGGTTGGGATAAAATTGGAGAGATTAAGAAAGTTTAAGCAAGATTAGCTTATATTAGGTGAGGTTAAGAGCGTTTTACGTTAGGCGAGTTTCAGAAGGTTTAGGTTAGGTTTACCTACTGAACGTTACCATTGACTTGTATAGCAACGCATTGCGTTAAATATAAATTTGGCGATTAGCGTTTCAAATGTTTAAACGTTCGTTACATAAGCCTATATAGTCTGCTCACACTTGGTCGTCATTGTACTTCAGGAATCACGTGTTAAACCATCCTAGTGTGTTCATTCTTTGCTATTTCTTGGGTTCGTGAATACCAGTGAACAACTATTGATAGGATGATAATCTCAAGTAAGTCACAATCAAGTATGCAAGAAAACCAAATTGACCTCAAATTATCTTTGTAACCATGGGAATTAATTTGATTTTATATGAATATTTAATACTTAGCAATTTATCTCACATAATATTTATGATGTAGTAGAGATTGCTTATCAACGATAACACGTCTCCCTTTTTCAATGGATAAAGACATCATAATTTCTCTGAACTTACAGAAAATGTTAGTGGATTCACTCAACTGTGTCCCCCCCAAAATAGCCAGAAAGTTGGAAGATTAAATGAGATGAACCAACCAGTGCCTGGATCCCAGAGTGCCAGGGGGGGGGGGATAAATGGGAGGGTGGACGGAGGGAAGGTTAGTACCTGTCGACCGCCTGAGCTTGTCGCAAGCATTCGGGGGCGTGACAATATACCCCTGGGGTCAAGTTAACATAACATCCCTGTGGGGAATTTTTAAGAAAAATTCTGAAATATGTGAAAATTGGGTATGTTAAATATAAGTATATACGTTTGATATGCTTAGTGGGCATAGATTCATGAGAAGAAATAACACAGAATATGTCTTGGTGTTTGGGTTTGTTTGGAGTTCCGTGTTTGTTTACATGTTGCCTCTATTTTTTTGCGATGTGTTTTTAAATTTGTGTAATATTCTGTTTTAATTTTGTCTATACTGTGTTTATGTGATTTTCTAAACTTGCAGCGTTTCATATTAAGCAAAACTTCGTATTTTGTCAATTTGCAACACGTTACATTTTTGTCTGCCAGAATATTGCCAACGTTTTATACCTGGGACGTGAGTGGACGCGAGGTGTTGTGTCTGCGGGTCGAGGTTGTGGACAGTGGCAGCGGCTTATTACCTGGTCGATACTGGTGGTGGCGCTGGAGGTCCTCGTCCCTGTGACTACTTCCACCACCTGCAGGTGGGGGTCCTCGTCCCTGTGACTACTTCCTCCACTTGCAGGTGGAGGTCCTCGTCCCTGTGACTACTTCCACCACCTGCAGGCGGGGGTCCTCGTCCCTGTGACTACTTCCACCACCTGCAGGTGGGGGTCCTCGTCCCTGTGACTACTTCCTCCACTTGCAGGTGGAGTCCTCGTCCCTGTGACTACTTCCTCCACTTGCAGGTGGGGGTCCTGGTCCCTGTGACTACTTCCATCTCCTGCAGGTGGGGGGTCCTGGACCCTGTGACCACCACCTGCACCGCCTTCTACTCTAATAGCCAAGATTTTTTCTCCACTTAAAAATTTTTGATGGCCCTTTAGATTCTGTATTACAGAGTGAACATGGTCTCATTACAAGATATTCTTAACATTTTGCATTTTAAGGATCCTTTTACAGGTGAAATTATATTACGACGTCAAGTAATGACGTCGAATAATGTCGAAATGTCGTCAAGTGAACATACCACACAGATCAGGAGCGTGGGTTCACTAATGTCACCAGCTGATATCATGAAACTCAGCTGAAGATGCAGCATTGCTGCTTCAATTCACAGGTCCATTCACTTGGACTAATCTGTAGAGCGATGATCTCGTTTCTTTGCATGGCTGGAGTTCGATCTCCGATCTCCAGCCATGCAAAGAACGGTCCTCAATCGCTTCGAACTCTGGTCGAAAGGGTTGGGCCATCGTTCTGTCACTCCGTTCTCATCTCCTGTTTTTTGTCCATATGTTCCTTACCAGTCATACTGGTTTAGTGCCTTCTCTTCTAATTATTTCCTTCGTGTTGTTGATGAAGTATGGTGATCCGTGGTGCTGATCTGTTGCCCTGGCTCACTGTGCTGATCCGTGGTGCTGATCTGTTGCCCTGGCTCACTGTGCTGATCCGTAGTGCTGATCTGTTGCCCTGGCTCACTGTGCTGATCCGTAGTGCTGATCTGTTGCCCTGGCTCACTGTGCTGATCCGTGGTGCTGATCTGTTGCCCTGGCTCACTGTGCTGATCCGTAGTGCTGATCTGTTGCCCTGGCTCACTGTGCTGATCCGTGGTGCTGATCTGTTGCCCTGGCTCACTGTGCTGATCCGTAGTGCTGATCTATTGCCCTGGCTCACTGTGCTGATCCGTGGTGCTGATCTGTTGCCCTGGCTCACTGTGCTGATCCGTAGTGCTGATCTGTTGCCCTGGCTCACTGTGCTGATCCGTGGTGCTGATCTGTTGCCCTGGCTCACTGTGCTGATCTGTTGCCCTGGCTCACTGTGCTGATCTGTAGTGCTGATCTGTTGCCCTGGCTCACTGTGCTGATCCGTAGTGCTGATCTGTTGCCCTGGTTCACTGTGCTGATCCGTGGTGCTGATCTGTTGCCCTGGCTCACTGTGCTGATCCAATATCGTAAAAAGTCGAACGTGAGTATTTCAGGGCTCGGAACACCGCTCGGAAACCCGAGCGGTGACTAACATAAGCTCGGCATGAGGGCGGGAGATATGTGAGCGTTAACTACCCTCGACACACGATGCCATCAGGTTCAAGCACTACCAGGGAAAACATTTTATGTTCTGGTAATTACAGGGAGCGTCCTCATACACCCCAGAGATGGAGGTAACAGCCTTGACGAATGTGATGGGAACTGTCAGCTATGTTGGTCAGACCGGAGGTGATGGGAACATGTTCATCACCTTACGGATGATGGGAGCTGTCATGTTCATCACTTTACGGGTGATGGGAACTGTCATATTCATCTCTCTATGGGTGAAGGGAGCTGTCATGTTCATCTCCTTACGGGTGATGGGAGCTGTCATGTTCATCTCCTTACGGGTGATGGGAACTGTCATATTCATCTATGGGTGATGGGAGCTGTTATGTTGGACTTCACTGTGGTGATGGAAATTATCAGGCATGATGATCTACTTGAAATAATGAGAAGTATGTAATAAGATGATCACCTGGAGGTGATGGTCTCTATTGTTCTTTGTGGTCTCAAGAAGCTGGACGTGCTCACTCTTACGGATGATTACTTTTGGAGTTGACCAGACCACACAAAAAGTGTGAGAATGGGAACTTGCGTCTGTATGGGACCGTATTTTCTGGCTGGTCTTAACTACACTTTCTTAGACCCGATGAAGTACGTTCTAAAGAACTACTCTCTCTCGGTACTATTTGGTAGTGTTTCAACACATGCATTAGTGTTTCAACACCCGTGGTAGTATTTCAACACCTGTGGTAATGTTTGTGCATCTGTGGTAGTGTTTCTGGGTCTAGGGCAGTGTTTCAATGCTTCTGGAGGTGTTTCAACACCTGTAGTAGTACCCAACACCCGGGGTAGTAAGTCATCCCATGTTATCCCCCTCGGTGTGTGACGCTGGTCACTACTACTTTCAACACAACCGCATTTCAGAATATCGCGAATCAAAACACTATCGTCAGATTCAACCCAACTGAATCTAACGCAAACTCAACCCAACCTCTTTCAACCAAAACTAACACTCAGGTAACGTAGACATTCTGACTCTTCTTTCAAGCTGTATTATGTCAATCGAGGGTTACATTTAACGGGAGTGCTTTAAGGTAAAATTTAAGAACAAACTGAAATTGTCGTAATTTCTTTAGAAACAGGTAGTGTGGAGGGATGCGAACCATGAAAATTGTTCTGCAACTCAAATTACCTGACCTTGATAGCACTGGAAGAAATTCAGCTTCCAATTCATTTTTGTTTCTAAAACTTGCTGAAATATGGCTGAGTGTTGCATTATTATTCTAAAAATTATTGAATTTTCCATAAATATTAAAGTTTTCAAATATTTTTTAATACGGGAGGCTGATGGTTATGCTGTATTATATATGATAACGATTTGTTTTTAGTAAAACTAACAAAAATTTGAGCTAGCCAACCTTACTTAACGTTACCTAACCGAATAAGTCAATAATTAATGTTCCTAATATATTAACAGTGACTGGAATGAATCGATTTTGTAAAGAAATATTTTAAAATAACCAAAATCGCTCTGGCTATTAAGCAAATAGGACCTTATTTACTAGCCCAAGTAGTGCAGTTCTAGCTATTAGGCAAGACAATAATTTTAGCTGTGGTTTGTTCAGGGTATAAATTCATACCGAGTAGGACAATATTAAACAGTTACTTGGCTCAACGTCCAGTCACCGTTACCAGCGTTAATTCAACATTGAATAACGTTGGATTGTCGTTACTCTTGGGTACTGTGCCCGCTGGCTAACGTCACGTTGTTCACTGGTTACCCGTACATCACAATGTTTATCTTCTTACATTGGGCTGTCCAGCCCAGTTATTGGGCTGGACGGTAGAGCAACGGTCTCGCTTCATGCAGGTCGGCGTTCAATCCCCGACCGTCCAAGCGGTTGGACACCAGTCCTTTCCCCAGTCCTATCACAAATCCTTATCCTGATCCCTTCTCAGTGCTGTATAGTCGTAATGGCTAGGGGCTGTCCCCTGATAATTCATTCATTCTTACATTTTTGTAAATATTTGCACAACTCACTGCGATTAATTATATTTTTTCGTGAGATCACGATTCTAATATTATAACATTGGCAATTTAAAATTGGATTTACTGTATTTAGTCATTATTTGACCGTTGTCTAATGGCTAAATCACATTTATACTTTTTGGTGATAATAAACATTTCAAATATTTGAAAAACATGTTTGACCTTCTAGTAATGTAAAATAGAACATTTTCTTCTATATGCAGATAAATATTGATTTTTAAGTTAAAGTTCTCGATAAAAAGTTAATAGTTATCATTTTATAATGGGAAAATATCACTACATGCAACATGTTCAAAATACAGACAAACAATTAGTTTACAAATATATAGCGACAAATTGTGAATTTTCAACTAACGCGACCATAGCCTGTATGTCAGACTTCAGAGTATAGTCCCGTACTGATGACTTTGATACATCATTTTCGAATCGTAAAGTTAAGAAAGTGAGAGATTGCAGAGTTTGAAGAAATTAGACAGCTCACTCTCACACTTTGACCACTTAACCTTTGCAAGTTGCACACCTTCGCTTCTTGACACCACGACATTTGACCCGTCTTGTCAACCACGAACTAAGATTGGCCCTTACAAATGATCGAACTACGTAGTGAAATGACCTCCGTTGTGGGATGTTTTGGTCGACAGGATACAGCTAGCTAAATCTACGAATTTTAAACCATATATCAAGGGTGAACAAGTGAAACGTTGGTGCTGTTTATTTTGAAACTGTTCATCTATTTACTGAGGTAAATAGGCCTGAATTAAATTACTGAGGCCTGAGACGAAGATGTAATTCCTCCCACAATAAGTCTCACTTCAGGGGTTTTCGTTATTAAATAATTTATGAAGACTTTGCAATGCTATTCAAAATATTTGGTGCGTATTGTGAATCTATAAATGTTATTAAATTATAGAAAACATCAATATTGATGGGAATGAAATCAAATAATTTAAAAGTATACTTTAAAATACTTAATTTTTATAAAATAAAAATAATTAATTTAAAAGTAAGTAATTTAAAAATTTAAAAGTATTATCTAGCAATAGGTAAATGTAATAATTATCTTTTCCTGCCTATGTGTGTGTTGTGCAAACTTTCCTTGACTCTATGTTGTGTACATTTCTCATTGTGTGTTGTGTAAACTTACCTTGACTCTATGTTGTGTACATTTCTCATTGTGTGTTGTGTAAACTTACCTTGACTCTATGTTGTGTACATTTCTCATTGTGTGTTGTGTAAACTTACCTTGACTCTATGTTGTGTACGTTTCTCATTGTGTGTTGTGTAAACTTACCTTGACTCTATGTTGTGTACATTTCTCATTGTGTGTTGTGTAAACTTACCTTGACTCTGTTGTGTACATTTTTCATTGTGTGCTCTGTAAACTTTCCCCTGCCCTGTGTATGTGATGTGTAAACTCTCCCATGCCCTGTGTATGTGTAGTGTAAACTCTCCCCTACTCTATGTGCTGTGCAAGCTTTCCCCTCTGTTTGTGAGTGTTTAAACTTTCCTCCTGGCTTTGTGTAATGTGAAAGTTCCCCCCCCCCCCCTGTGTGTGTGTGTGTGTGTGTTTTGTGAAAACTTTCTCCTGCCTTTATGAATGTTGCTTCAATTTTGCTTTATATTAATAAATGGTTCGCATACAGCAGCTAATGGTCACTTGGTTTCCCTTCTCCGCTGACGTTAGAACTGACACTCAATTTAATTCCTGTGTCAGTTCCTTCGATCCGCTGTCAGGTGAACCGTCCAGGTAGACTCACAAAGTGGAACACCGACAGACAGCAACAGAAGTTAACATAAGGTATGAATGAGGATAAAACAAGAAGCCAGAGTGATTATATATTTCACTTAGAAGGGCTATGAAGACGAGCAGAGGGCAGAGGAAAGGAACGGTGCCCCCCCAGCTCCTTGGACCATCGGGGGATCGAGCGACGACCTGCAAGAAGCGAGGCCGATTGGTTGGGTGAAGTGATTGATTGATTGATAAAGATTAAGCCACCCAAAAGGTGGCACGGGCATGAATAGCCCGTAAATGGTGGCCCTTTTGAGGCATTAGCAGTATCAATAGATGATACTGGAGATCTGTGGAGGTGCGACTGCACCCTGCGTGACGGGAGATGTCTCCCGTGTTGGGTGAGGGGGAACCAGCCAGTATACAAATGTGTTGGTCTATCCCATGTTAGGTGGTGGGATGGAAGGGAGGGGGGAGGGGGAGGGTGCGTGGTGAGAATATACTCAACGCCTGATGATAGCAAATCAACAAACTGCAAGACATAATTGGTGTGGAAACAAGCGACCTAAAACATAAGGAAGGTAGACACACGGAACCTTAGCCAACCAGATTGTCAACATACACTGGCTCATGGCTGAGGCAGTATTTAATATATACATATAAATTTATTTATACAATTTTATAATAATACATCTGTTGGTGTGTTGTTTTTACACAAACACGTGACTGAGAAGTTCAGTGATACCTGAACTCTAACTGGATATACACCTAACTAATGACACAGTTGAGCGTGTGTGTGTGTGTAGCGAGGAGTGAGCACTCCTGTATCTCTATATGAGGCATTACACAGCCACAGCGCCCTCCCATTTCTGCCTCTTCTCCAGAGATCTAAGAGGCGTGTACTCAACCACAGACAAGGCGAGAGAGAGAGGGGGGGGGGTCCCTGTCTCCTTATCTGTTGGTAAACAGAGTGAAAAGGGGGAACGGGCGGCCCGAGGAGATGAAGATAAGCAATGATGCGACGTCGGGCGTGTGGGCGGCGGCGGCGAGGACACAGAAGGCGGTGACAAAGACCTGTGATAGGAGGTGGCTGGCGGCGGCTGGAGGGGCGCTGCTGGTCGTGGTTTGCATGGCTGCGGGTGTCTCGCCTGCAGGAGGAACGTCAGTGGGGTTTTATCATTATCTTCAGTGCATGAAAGTTACGTATAATCAAGAAATCCACAAGGGCCGTGACGAGGATTCGAACCTGCGTCGGAGAGCATCCCAGACGCTGCCTTAATCTCTCTCCTGGACGCAGGTTCCAATCCTCGTCACGGCCCTTGTGGATTTGTTCATTTGATTCATCACACAATTGTGATTTCTGTGTGTTTCGTATAATCAGGTGTGATTTTGAGTCGAAGTAAATATTTTATTGACATGTGACATTATGGATGTGTAGAATCCGAATTTACTGAATGCCATTCATAATTTTGTTTATTATTACTCAAAATTGCTTCCCTCAAAAAATGGATTTTAAATGATGCTGAAATTTGGTAATAAGTTATCTCACACCTGGCCATGCTTTTCTTAAAACTATGGCATATATGTGTAATACAGAAACGAAACAGTTCATTATTGTTTCTGAAATAAGAACAAAATTATTCAAAAGCATACACCTGGTTTGTAGTGGGAAATGTAAACATTCAGGAAGATGAATTCAAGTCATGATAAGTTCTGACAGTGTACACACACACACACACACACACACACACACACACACACACACACACACACACACATACACACATACACACATACACACACACATACACACACACACACACACACGCACACACACATACACACACACACACACACACATACACACACACACACATACACACACACACACACACGCACACACACATACACACACACACACACACACGCACACACACACACACGCACACACACATACACACACACACGCACACACACATACACACACACACACACACACACACACACGCACACACACACATACATGTATACATATAGTTAAGCAGGCTGCTAAGTTAAAATAAAAAAAATTAATATCTCAGATTTTGTCAAAAGTGTTGTTTCTATGTATTTTTGCAGAAGTCAGCTTACTGGAGGAGTTTATGGATAAATCTGGCAGCTACTCCGGTTTTTACCATTTGATGAGTAAAAAAAAAAAATTGAATTACGTATATATATGCAATTGACGATCACAAAACACATCATTTTTATGTGGAAAATTCACAGAGAAGTGTGAAAGGAAGTGAACGTTTCGGCCTGATTAAAGCCGTTGTCAACACCAAACATGTGTATATATATATATATATATATATATATATATATATATATATATATATATATATATATAATATAATAAAATTCTGAAAAATTGCCCCTGACTAATATATAAAAATATAAAATATATTGAGTCTGATGGCTGTAACTGAAAATAACTACAGAAAATCCATCTTCTACAATTATATTAAATCAATTAAATATTATAGTATATCAATTATAGTATATCAATTAAAGCAGGTATTATAGCTTTCGTTCACTTTGCAACTATGATACTAGTTGTTGCAACAGCAACAGGGAGGGACCACAACAACAGTCACACAGAAACGGAGACACTACAATCTATAACAGATAACTATAGCAGGGACAATTTAAACTACAAACGTGGACATTACAAACTACAGGAAGGGACACTACACATTACAACAAGGACATTATAGACTACACCAAGGACATTACAGACTTCAGCAGGGACGTTGACCAAACCACACACTAAAAGATGACGACGTTTCGCTCCGTCCTGATATATTATCAAATCGATACAACTGGAACATTACAAACTACAGCAGAGGACACTACAAGCTACAACAGGGAACACTACAAGCTACAACAGGGAACACTACAAGCTACAACAGGGAACACTACAAGCTACAACAGGGAACACTACAAGCTACAACAGGGAACACTACAAGCTACAACAGGGAACACTACAAGCTACAACAGGGAACACTACAAGCTACAACAGGGAACACTACAAGCTACAACAGGGAACACTACAAGCTACAACAGGGAACACTACAAGCTACAACAGGGAACACTACAAGCTACAACAGGGAACACTACAAACTACAACAAGGACACTGCAATAGAGATACTACATAATACACCAGGGATACTGTAAAATGGAACTGGAAAATGAAAACCTGGACACTACTGACTGCAGCCGGAACACTACAGTGATCACTACAAGTGGGGACGCTACAACAAGGACACTTCAACAACCACTGCCACTGTTTGAACAACATGTTGCGTATTTGCACCAAGATTCTTAGAATTATCTATTCAGCTTTTTCTTGGATGACTGTGTTTACCTTACGACTGAGACATCATAAGCAAAAGTCTTTTTGCCCATGAGAGAGAGAGAAAGAGGGAGAAAGAGAAAGAGAAAAAGAGAGAGAGAGAAAACATTTCTTGGTTTATGCACCAATAATCTCTCCAGTAATCTTACTCTTGAGTACGTGGACGTCGATGGAAATCTTCTGGGCATTTGAAGGCTTACAGGAGTACCTGCCAGAGTCCCAGACGGTGGCGTTGTGCACCAGGAGAGAGGAGCGGGTGGTGTCTCCCTTGTGGACCGTCGCTACCTTGATCTCTCGCCCCTCACGTGACCCGTAGTTCACCAGCTGCAGGTGGTGACAGGTGGGCGAGAGAGGGGGAAGCACATGGTGAAGTTAATTAACAGAAGGTCTCATTGCTAGGTACTAAGATGGTGGTGAGCATATAGTTGGTTATGATGGCGTGGTTAGTCAAGTTGGTTATGATGGCGTGGTGAGACAAACTGGTTTTGATGGTGTAGCATGACAAATTGGTTATAATTGTGTGATGAAACAAGCTGGTTATGAGTGTAGGGAGAGGTGTTTCTTTCATAAATATTCGTTCGCGGACCAAAGCCTCAGGCACACCAACTTCACGACAGAACTTCCTAAACATGACTGACAGCGGCGATTATCATAATATACTGCATACGAGTCAATAAGGTGTCAAAATGTCGATGCTGAAGTCACTACATGACTGTTAAAAATATAAGCAATCAATAAATAATTCACATGTAGAAAGATAGCACTGTAAAACATATGAAAAATATGGCTACGTTAGTAAATGGACACATGTCCTGGGTGACATATTAGCCTTCGTCTAGCCACCGATTTGGTTTGGGTTCAAGTCATTGCCAGGATGAATTGACTGGGATCCAATCCTTAACTCTCAGCCTCTATTCACCCAGCAGTAATTAAGTTAACTGGTTATTAACCGATTAGCAGGTCGTGTTATAGGTAAAACTGTTGGATTAAGGTTGTCATGAGCCATGGGAAGGGAAAGTTTTTAGCCTGCTAACAGGAGCCAAAGGTACCTGCGACTGTATGCTGCACTAAAATTTATAATAATTCTGTTAAATATTTGCACCAATTATCAAGTTAGTGACTGGCAGTGGCGCCCATCAAACGTTGTCAACAAGTCATAAACCAGGAGAGACATCCGTCATCAGCACAAAACAGAGATATTTCTCATTTGTGTGATAATGGTCAAGTTAATGCTAGATTCTATAGACATATCCTGGCCATCCAAGGGGCAGTGATGAGCTCCTCGACTCTCTCACTCGCCGTTGGCGAATCTCACATATAATTCGGGTTTATCTCGTCCCTCCCACAGCAGGATAACGTCAGTTATGCCCCCTTGAAACGACGCTATTGCAGACCATGAAGAGTGGGCTGTGTAGGCCCCTCTAGACCAGCCTGGAGTGGACTATTGGGTCAGGTACCAGTGGGCAAGTACTCCTGATGTACACTCACCATATATGTACAATTATGGGTAATGAAAGGATTATAGAAAGGAGATATACATCTGAAGATTTTCTGAGGATTTGATTTAAAACAATTTTGTATCCTGGATCATCAAGGTCGCGACTTGAGTGTGTGTGTTTAATGTGTAGATCTGGCAGCGACGACTGTAAAACGGTCAGTAATTGGGGGACAGCTGCGTCCACCGGAGTCGCTCGACACAGGAAGGGTAATAATGACCATCCAGGACAAGCGGCCGTCACAACGTTACCCGGGAGAGTGTAGGTGGCGTGAACCGTCACCTACAATGATGAATGGTAAGGCATATCTATCCAACTGGCAGAAAATCTTGATGCTTCCAGCATGTCTCTTAATTACACCCAGAAATCACAATAGCGTGATGCATCAAATGAACAAATCCACAAAGGCCGTGACGAGGATTCGAACCTACGTCCGAGAGCATCTTCAGACGCTGCCTTAATCGACTGGATTTGTTCATGTCTGTTAATGTTCAGTCTTCGTCAGAATGCGTGTGGGTAAATTTGTATTATAAATGTATTTTTTATAAGTGGGCTACATAAAAGTATATTTCAGTCAGGAAAGTGATTACTTTAGCGTGTGAATATGTGTTGTTTGACAGGCAGGTCATATTTGAACTCTTGCCTGTTAAGCACATCATGTTCATGTAGACTACAAAATTGCTTTGCGTAGTCTACATTCTTGAGTGTCTGTGTGTGTTTGGGGGAGGTAGTGTTTATGTAGATACAGGTGTGTATATACTGTGTGTTCGTGTGGACACAGGTGTGTATGTAGTGTGCGTTCGTGTGGACACAGGTGTATATGTAGTGTGTGTTCGTGTGGACACAGGTGTGTATATACTGTGCGTTCCTGTGAACATAGGTGTGAATGTGGTGTGTGTTCGTGTGGACACAGGTGTGTATGTAGTGTGCGTTCGTGTGGACACAGGTGTGTATGTTGTGTGTGTTCGTGTAGACACAGGTGTGTATGTAGTATGCGTTCGTGTGGACAGAGGTGTGTATGTACTGTGTGTTCGTGTGGACACAGGTGTGTGTATATACTGTGCGTTCGTGTGGACACAGGTGTGTATGTATACTGTGTGTTCGTGTACACACAGGTGTGTATGTATACTGTGTGTTCGTGTACACACAGGTGTGTATGTATACTGTGTGTTCGTGTGGACACAGGTGTGTATGTATCGTGATCGCCAACGGCAGAGAGCACAAGCCAACATGAAGGCAATCCCAGAAGACAAGTGTTCAATATTGATGCCTCTCCCCACTGGCTGGGAATTATATATATTAAAGGGAACAGTGGAGAGATAGATCGTCACACACACACACACACACACACACACACACACACACACACACACACACACACACACACACACACACACACACACACACACACACACACACACACACACACACACACACACACACACACACACACACACACACACACACACACACACACACACACACACACACACACACACACACACACACACACACACACACACACACACACACACACACACACACACACACACACACACACACACACACACACACACACACACATACACATAGGATAACGACAGCAGCGTACTCTACACTGGCAAAAGTTAGAACATCATTCAGAAACCTAAGTAAGGAGGCATTTAGGGCGCTTTACACTGCCTACGTAAGGCCAGTCTTAGAGTATGCCGCCTCATCATGGAGTCCCCATCTGAAGAAGCATATAATGAAACTGGAAAAGGTTCAGAGGTTTGCAACGAGACTCGTCCCAGAGCTACGAGGGATGGGGTATGAGGAGCGCCTGAGGGAACTGTGCCTTACGACACTAGAAAGAAGAAGGGAGAGGGGGGACATGATAGGAACGTATAAAATACTCAGAGGGATTGACAGAGTGGACATAGACGAAATGTTCACATGGAATAGTAATAAAACGAGAGGACATGGATGGAAGCTTGAAACTCAGATGAGTCACAGAGATGTTAGGAAGTTTTCTTTTAGCGTGAGAGTAGTGGGAAAATGGAATGCACTTCAGGAACAGGTTGTGGAAGCAAATACTATTCATAATTTTAAAACCAGGTATGATAGGGAAATGGGACAGGAGTCATTGCTGTAAACAACCGATGCTCGAAAGGCGGGATCCAAGAGTCAATGCTCGATCCTGCAGACACAACTAGGTGAGTACAACTAGGTGAGTACACACACACCAGTTTATAGAGCCCAATAGGCTCAGGAACCTGTAGACCAGTTGATTGACAGTTGAGAGGCGGGACCAAAGTGCCAGAGCTCAACCCCGCAAGCACAACTAGGTGAGTATACACGCACACAAAATAATGTGCTGGAGAGAACTGTCAAGAGGCTTGTTCATTAGTTAATAATAGTTAAATTACAACTAGTATAACTATAGCTTGTTCAATAGAACAATAGTTAAACTATAAGGTACAACAAGGCTAGTGGGCGGGGCATGAAGAGCTAGACCTGACCTTCGTAGACACAGATAGGTAAACACACCAACAGAGCCGGAAAATAAATCCTCGTAGGAACAATTATGTGAGTACAAACAGGTTCGAGGTTATATACACTACATGCGCGCATGCGCAAGAGTCCACGTTTAAAATCTTATGGGCCGCGTGGTTGAGTGGACAGCGCTCGGGGGTCGTAGTCCAAATGGCCCGGGTTCGATTCCCGGAGGAGGGGGAAACAAATGGGCAGAGTTTCTTTCAACTTGAAGTTCATCTAGCAGCAAATAGGTACCTGGGAGGTAGACAGCTGCTGTGGGCTGCTCCCTGGGGATGTGTGTGTGTGTGTGTGTTAGAAAGAAATATATGTAGCAGTCATAATAGATGAAAAATATATTGGTTAGAAAGGCGGGGTCCAAGAGCTAATAGCTCGATCTTGCAGACACAAAAATAGTAAATAGTAAATACACTTAAAAATCGTAAAGATTTTCTGTAAAATCTGTAAAATCAACTGGTGTACAGATTCCTGAGCCTATTGGGCTCTATAAATTAAGAATTTTTTTTCTTAAAATCGTAAAGATCTGTCTCGTCGTCCTCGAGACAGAAAAAATGAACAGGCGAACAGCATCTGTTCCCTGAAGGGCAGCTCTTCCTCGAGCTGCTCCTCGAGGCTCCTCCTCAAGACACTCCTCGTCTGCCAGTTAGTCGCAAACGAGAATTTTTTTAAGGCCAAATTATTTCCTTCCAGGAACTGATGTGTGTGTATTTACTATTTGTGCTTGCAGCGTCGGACTCCTAGCTGTTGATACCCGTTGGTGGTGTGAGGTAATGACTTCCTACAGTTGGTCCTTATCATATATACTACATGGGACACACACACACACACACACACACACACACACACACACACACACACACACACACACACACACACATCCCTGGGATGCAACCGACAACAGCTGTGGAACTTCCAGGTATCTTTTTCTAGGTAAACACAGTCCAGGAAACAAACACAGGTCCGTGGACTGAAGATCATAAACGCTGTGTGTGTGTGTGTGTGTGTGTGTGTGTGTGTGTGTGTGTGTGTGTGTGTGTGTGTGTGTGTGTGTGTGTGTGTGTGAGTCCAAGTTACAGTTTGGATAAATATATCCAAGTGCTGTAACAAATGGAATAAAGATTTATTATGATATTACATGAATTGCTTCGTCTGGCTGCTTAAAAGACGTCGTCTGCTCCTGCTTTCATATTCCTTCTGGGCTCTCTTGATAAGAGATAAATTCAGTTTACTGAGAGGCATTCAGGAGGCATACCTGCCCCTCGTTAGTCTCCTCCTGTGTCTGGAAACTTGTTATTGCTGGAATTTAAAGATGCCAATATAAAAATATAACGAGCTATGTTTCTTGAAATGGTTTCCACTTGCGAAAATTTGGTTTTAATATTAAATACTGCATGACTTCTTATCACTTCGCTGGAAGATTCGGTGTTCAACTCGACTTGGTGAGCGACTTACTGTGCTATCGTCTCTGCCCGGTTCACTTGGTGAGCGACTTACTGTGCTATCGTCTCTGCCCGGTTCACTTGGTGAGCGACTTACTGTGCTATCGTCTCTGCCCGGTTCACTTGGTGAGCGACTTACTGTGCTATCGTCTCTGCCCGGTTCACTTCACAACCGGTGTTGTGGTTAATACAGTCGCCTGGGCAAGGGAAGGAGGTTTGAGGTTTGGCGTCCAATACATGAGGCTCGTTTATTGGGTACTGTTCCCCCTACTGAGTGGCACACCAGTACAATAAGATGTTCAGAGCGCCACAAGAGAAGCAGAAGTGAGCTCCAGGCTTGTCTGATAGAGACAAAGGAAGGATCGAAAGAAAACACAAGGCACATGTACGCAGATAGGGACTCAAAGCACATGTGCGCACATATGGACACAAGCATATGTGCCTTACCCCTCTCTTCCTTCATCGTTCGCTTTCTCTCCCCATTTCTCTGGCATTCTGACCCTCCTCTATTATTAAAACCAGTAAAGCACTTTATCTCTCACGTTTTATTCAGCGCTCCGGCCTGCTACTTCAGATTTTTTATCGCAGTGGAAATAATACAGGTCTTAGCATGTTCGTCCTAACTTAGTTGCTCTTGTTCGATCTCTTTTCCTAAGAACATTATTTTTTCTCGGACATTGTTTTTGCTATTTACTGTGTTCTTGGTCATATCTCTCATTCTCTGTATCCATTTGTTTGTTGTTGCTGCTCTTGACTTATTAGCTTCTTTTGTTTCAGCTTACCCTCTTCGTAAAAAATAAATAAGGGAACTAAATTCTATCTCGCTTGTTTTCCCCTTTCTTGCTTCTTTGACTTTCTGACCTTACATTATAACCAATCTTTCCCTGCTACCTCTCTCTCTCTCTCTCTCTCTCTCTCTCTCTCTCTCTCTCTCTCTCTCTCTCTCTCTCTCTCTCTCTCTCTCTCTCTCTCTCTCTCTCTCTCCTGTCTCTCTCTTTCTCTGTCTCTCCCTCTCCTGTCTCTCTCTTTCTCTTTCTCTGTCTCTCCCTCTCTCTCTCTCTCTCTCTCTCTCTCTCTCTCTCTCTCTCTCTCTCTCTCTCTCTCTCTCTCTCTCTCTCTCTCTCTCTCTCTCTCTCCCTTAACTTTTGCTGAGATCTCCCTAAATTCTCACTGAACTTTCCCTGCCACCCTGCGCAGCTTCACTCCTGGTAGGGATCACGGGATATTAAACTCACGCCGCAACATTTCCAGCATTCCGGGAGAATTTAGCTCAGACTGCAAGACCCCAACATCCTCACTCCCCGTCCTCTATTATTCCAGAAATACCATTCTGTACATTTTCTCTGAAATGATTGATTTATAACTGAACCAAACACAAATGTTAATTTTTGCAGTGTTTAATGACCGGAATTTTATTAATAATTCTTGTCGTTCTCTATGCATGACATGGAAGATATTTTTTGGTTTTTGCTTTTGTTTTCTCTGAAAGCTTTGCACGACTCGATAAATAGAAGTAATGAGTGGAGTACCTCAAGGGTAGATATGATGGTCCAGCCTGTTATTAATGTGTAAATAATCTAATAGAGGAAGTTCAGCCTTTACCACATCTGCTGACGACGCTTAGCTGATGAGTTTAGTTTACCACAATAATAAAATGAGTGAGGTACCAAGGTACCTTGTCACTGAGGTGCCAAGGTACCATATCAGTGAGATACCAAGGTACCTTGTCACTGAGGTGCCAAGGTATCATATCAGTTAGGTACCAAGGTACCTTGTCACTGAGGTGCCAAGGTACCATATCAGTGAGGTACCAAGGTACCATATCAATGAGGCAACAACCTACCATATCAGTGAGGTACCAAGGAACCTTGTCACTGAGGTGCCAAGGAACCTTGTCACTGAGGTGCCAAGGTACCATATCAGTGAGGTACCAAGGTACCTTGTCACTGAGGTGCCAAGGTACCATATCAGTGAGGTACCAAGGTACCTTGTCACTCAGGTGCCAAGGTACCGTATCAGTAAAGTAGCAAGGGACAGCACACATACCTTATCACGGTGGTACCATAGGATGAATTCCGGCGGAGTTGGGCTGAAGTGGACGACGCAGGTTAGATTAAGAGTGCTGCCTCGGTCCAGGTACACTTCCCCGTCCCCCAGCAGCTCAGCCGTCGGCACTGACGGAGAAAAATTGCACCTGTACAGACCCCCCCTGTCAACTTTTCCTGTGTCCATGTTCCAATGTGCTGACCCCCTGTCCACTGTGCCGTCCCCCTGTTCAGTGTTCAGACCCCTGTCCCCCTGTGCAGATGGACCCCCCTGTCCACTATCCAGATCCTCTCTCCACCGTCCAAACTGTCTACTGTCTAGATCCAAATCATCTCTGCATGGTGAAACCTGAATGATACGAGCTCTGATTGGCGCTTTCCTAAGATTGACCATAATCCAAATATTTGCTTTATTTACAGATAACTTTCATATTCTTAAGTTAGTGATAACCTTCATATTCTTGAGTTAGTGATAACCTTCATATTCTTGAGTTAGTGATAACCTTCATATTCTTGAATTAGTGATAACCTTCATATTCTTGAGATAGTGATAACCTTCATATTATTGAGGTAGTGATAACCTTCATATTCTTGAGTTAGTGATAACCTTCATATTCTTGAGTTAGTGATAACCTTCATATTCTTGAGTTAGTGATAACCTTCATATTCTTGAGATAGTGATAACCTTCATATTATTGAGGTAGTGATAACCTTCATATTCTTGAGTTAGTGATAACCTTCATATTCTTGAGTTAGTGATAACCTTCATATTCTTGAGTTAGTGATAACCTTCATATTCTTGAGTTAGTGATAACCTTCATATTCTTGAGTTAGTGATAACCTTCATATTCTTGAGGTAGTGATAACCTTCATATTCTTGAGTTAGTGATAACCTTCATATTCTTGAGTTAGTGATAACCTTCATATTATTGAGGTAGTGATAACCTTCATATTCTTGAGTTAGTGATAACCATCATATTCTCTGGTTAGTGAAAACTTTCATATTTTTAGGTCATTGATGAACCTGAAATTAACAAGAAAGTGATGGCTTCATATTCATGAGTTTTTGCGTTTGGAAAATGTCGAAGCGAGTCATATGAATTATTTTATAAGTCTCTGGTATATGATTGGGCCATTCTCGAGGTCATTAGGAGCATGTTGGAATAAATGTAAAAGGTTCAGAATGATTACGACAATTAAAACAGGTCACATTCTGCTCTTATTTATGGTAATGGTAATTATTGTCTCGTTAATGCTCTATCGCTGCTAATTCAAGTTATTATTAAGCTAATGCATGAAATATTGTAGTTAATTCTCGTCGTGTAACTGCTAATTCATGTCATATTAATGCTGATTTATGTTATGATTCGCTCCTGTTTGCACGATTTGTTTATTTCTAATAAAATAAATTGATTGAGAGCAATAATGTTGAAATATAGGATAGGTGTGTTGTGTGTGTGTGTGTGTGTGTGTGTGTGTGTGTGTGTGTACTCACCTAATTGTACTCACCTAATTGTGCTTGCGGGGGTTGAGCTTTGGCTCTTTGGTCCCGCCTCTCAACTGTCAATCAACTGGTGTACAGATTCCTGAGCCTACTGGGCTCTATCATACCTACATTTGAAACTGTGTATGGAGTCAGCCTCCACCACATCACTTCCTAGTGCATTCCATTTATTAACTACTCTGACACTGAAAAAATTCTTTCTAACGTCTCTGTGGCTCATCTGGGTACTAAGTTTCCACCTGTGTCCCCTTGTTCGTGTCCCACCCGTGCTGAAGAGTTTGTCTTTGTCCACCCTGTCAATTCCCCTGAGAATTTTGTAGGTGGTTATCATGTCTCCCCTTACTCTTCTGTTTTCCAGGGATGTGAGGTTCAGCTCCTTTAGCCTTTCCTCGTAGCTCAATCCTCTCAGTTCCGGGACGAGCCTGGTGGCATACCGCTGAATCTTCTCTAACTTTGTCTTGTGTTTAACTAGGTATGGACTCCAGGCTGGAGCTGCATACTCCAGGATTGGTCTTACATAAGTGGTATACAGGGTTCTGAAAGATTCCTTACACAAGTTTCTGAAGGCAGTTCTTATGTTGGCCAGTCTAGCATATGCCGCTGATGATATTCTTTTGATGTGGGCCTCTGGGGACAGGTTCGGTGTGATATCAACCCCCAGATCCTTCTCTCTATTTGATTCTTGCAGGATTTCCCCTCCCAGATGATACCTTGTGTTCAGCCTCCTGCTCCCTTCGCCTAATTTCATTACCTTACACTTTCCAGAGTTGAACTTCAGCAGCCATTTTCTAGACCATTCCTCCAGTTTATCCAGGTCATCCTGTAGTCTCTGTCTATCATCATCCGTCTTGATTCTTCTCATAATTTTTGCATCATCAGCAAACATCGAGAGGAATGAGTCTATACCCTCTGGAAGATCGTTCACATATATTAGAAACAGGATGGGTCCAAGTACTGAGCCCTGTGGAACTCCGCTGGTGACATCTCGCCACTCTGATGTCTTCCCCCTCACCGTTACTCGCTGTTTCCTGTTGCTTAAGTACTCCCTTATCCACTGGAGCACCTTCCCTTTTACTCCTGCCTGTTGCTCCAACTTTTTTAACAGCCTTTTATGGGGTACTGTGTCGAAGGCTTTTTGGCAATCCAGGAAAATGCAGTCGGCCCACCCTTCTCTTTCCTGCCTAATTTTCGTTGCCTGGTCATAAAATTCTATTAACCCTGTGAGGCACGATTTACCATCTCTGAACCCATGTTGGTGGTGCGTTACAAAGTTATTTCCCTCCAGATGCTCTACGAGCCTTTTCCTCACGATCTTCTCCAGCACCTTGCATGGTATACAAGTTAAGGAAACTGGCCTGTAATTCAGTGCCTCTTGCCTGTCACCCTTTTTGTATATTGGGACCACTTTAGCTGTCTTCCAACTTTCTGGTAAGTCTCCTGTTTCCAGTGACCTGTTATACACCATAGAGAGTGGCACACTTAGTGCTTCTGCACCTTCCTTTAGTATCCATGGTGAGATTCTATCAGGCCCAACAGCCTTTGTCACATCTAGCTCCAGCAGACACCTTTTGACCTCATCACTAGTGAGGTCAAATTCCTCCAAGGTTTCCAAGGTTGCCGCCTCCTCATTTAGTGCAGGGGCTTCTCCTTGTTCTATTGTGAAGACCATTCTATTGTGAAGATAGAATAGAACCTTGTTCTATTGTGAAGACCAGATCTATTGTGTGTGTGTGTGTGTGTGTGTGTGTGTGTGTGTGTGTGTGTGTGTGTGTGTGTGTGTGTGTGTGTGTGTGTGTGTGTAGGTACTCATCGACCTGTGCTTGGCGGCGGGTTGAGCTTCGGCTCTATGGTCCCGCCTCTCAACTGTTAATCAACTGGTGTACAGGTTCCTGAGCCTACTGGGCTTTATCTTATCTCCACTTCAAACTGTGTATGGACAAACTCCACCACATCACTTCCTAATGTATTCCATATCGTACCTACTCTGACACGAGTACGGTAACAACTCTTGTAGCCCATTATGCAATGAAACTGCTCTGTGGCTCTTCATATGATGGTTATCATTGCAATTTAATTGACTTTGAACATCACTTAAACATTAATTGATTTTGAACATCACTTAAACATTAATTGATTTTGAACATCGCTTAAACATTAATTGATTTTGAACATCACTTAAACGTTAATTGATTTTGAACATCACTTAAACAGTCTTTTATATCCGAGCGCTCACAACCTGCCCTCTCCAATAGAACATCGTAATTTGACGTATAAACCCCCCCCCCACACCGGCCAAAATATGATGTACTATAAACCTCATACTCGCTCGTAAAATTGACGCGCGGGTTCCGTTTTCTATTCATGGGGTCCTCAGGTTAGGTTCGGGCCGTTTATTAACAACTAATTTTAGTGACGTTATCACAACTGTAGAGGACAGGTTGTTCACTACACGACCTCACACTACACCTAGTGCACCTCATCTCTCACACCTCTACAGGAACGACAGAGGGAAGTGTACCACTTAACATGAACAGTGTACATGAAAAGTGTACCACTTATACGAACAATGTACAACTTATATGAACAGTATACCACTTACATGAACAATGTATCTCTTATATGAACAATGTACCTCTTACATGAACAATGTACCTCTTATATGAACACTGTACCACTTACACGAAGATAGTACATGAACAATGTCGTCTATGGCTAAAAAAAACTGTCATCGTTTCAGATGAATTTTAACCTGTCATTGGTGATAAATAAAAATATTAAATTCGATATTGTGGATTGAATTATTTTGAGGTTAATTATTTTTAACACCAGCTGTATAAACATTGAACTCGCGATAACAATGATAAAAGTGCATGTTAAAAATAATGGCATAGAGAGTATTCAATTAATATTATAACAGGTATGATAATTGTAATGCTACAGTAATCTTACGATATATGTGAAAATATAAATGTTATTTACACTATCGCTTGTATGATTAAAACTAATGCAATCATTAGCAATTGATTACAGACCAGGCGAAGAAAAACACCTTGGTTGTAAGTGATAGTGAGTGTGTATTCACCTAGTTGTATTCACTTAGTTGTGCTTGCGGGGGTTGAGCTCTGCTCTTTCAGCCCGCCTTTCAACCCTCAATCAACTGTTACTAACTACAATTTTTTTCTCAACACACACACACACACACACACCCAGGAAGCAGCCTGTAACAGCTGGCTAACTCCCCGGTACCTATTTACTGCTAGGTAACAGGAGCATCAGGGTGAAATAAACTTTACCCATTTGTTTCTGCCTGGTCCAGGAATCGAACCCGGGCCACAGAATTACGAGTCCTGCGTGCTGTTCACTCAGCTACCAGACCCCCTCTGGTAGCTATTACCAGTGTGTGTGTACTCACCTAGTTGTGCTTGCAGGGGTTGAGCTTCGGCTCTTTTGTCCCGCCTCTCAACCGTCAATCAACTGGTGTGTGTGTGTGTGTGTGTGTGTGTGTGTGTGTGTGTGTGTGTGTGTGTGTGTGTGTGTGTGTGTGTGCCGCCTCAACATGAAGGCTCCAAAGTTCACACTTGACGCACCTGCCAGCTACCTGAATAGGTGTTCGTCCCCAGTAGTT